TAGTGGCCTTTTCATTGCCTGCTTGTCTCATATCTTTTTTTTTTTTTTCATTTCTTTCATTTCCTTGTTTGCATTCTTCAGATACTTGACGGTTTGTCTCATTTCATTTTTTCCTTCTCATCTTCTTTTTGTTTATCATGGTGATTCTGAATTCGCTGTCTGGTAGGCTGAGCAGTTCTTCTATTTCTTTGGTGGTTTTTGCTGACTGATCTTTTTGTGGAGAATTTTCCCCTTGTGGACTTTCTTGAATATTTGTTTGTCTTCTTTTCCCTATTGTGTATTTTCTAATACTTTTTATTCGTTGAGACATGGTGTTGTTATTATTGCCTGGCATTTTTTCTGGTTCTTCTTTCTGGGATGGTAGAGGGACTTCCAGACACTTCAGTTGTAGAGTATTCTGAGCCTTGTTTTGTCTAAGTATCTCCTGTTTTTCCAGCCCCTAGTGTGTGGAATTATGTCTGTAGTCTCTGCCAGTGACGCTCAGGGTTCTCTTGTGGTGTTCAACTTCTGGTAACTCATTGAGTCTTGTCTCTGGAAGGTGTCTGTGATCTTTGTAGCTTTCTGATGTCCTGGGTTCCCTCTATGCTTGGATGCAGCCCCTGAGGGTGGGGGTGCATTAGAGGTGTTGCAGCTGAGCCTGTGATTGAGGCAGTCACTGATATTTTTGGCAGTATGAGCCTTGCAGTGTGGTGCCTTACTGGCTCACACGTCTTCCAGCCACTGCTGTTCAGTAACAAACACCTTGAGTCCTAGTTCTGCACAGCCCCCAGTTGTGCAGGCTATCAGTCCTTCCACTAGTCTTCCAGGGCTCTTTGTATCCACTCACAGCCCTCTCTCTCTGAGCAGTCTTTCCCTACCACTTGGGGGAGTGGTAGTGGGCCTGTTTTGATTCAGTCTGACCTTTTTATCCCCCCCTTTTATCTCAGGAGCTTTGTGAACTTGCTGGTCCCGTCTTAGTGACTAATGCCAGAAACAAGCCTCCAGGCCTATGCTGTGGGGTGGGTGAAAGGGTTGCACACCTTGCAGCTTCCCCAGTCACCAGATCGCCAGATTACCCCCCCCCCCACCCCAGGCTTTATGTGCCCACTTGCACAGTCTTTTCCCCAGGTTCGGTTCTACCCACCAAGCAGAATGATCAGGAAGCCTCTAGGGCGCTAGAACCTGGGAGTCGTCCCCCTCCCCCCCCTAGATGATCTATCATAGATCATGTATCACAGATCATCAGTCGGAGTTGCAGTGTTCCGCTTATCCTGTCTGTGATGCTTCCGGCTAGGAGTTCCCTTATTGGAACTCCCCAATCCCGATTCTCCCTCAGTTGTCTTCCTTCTAGTGAGTCCGGGGTGTTTTCATTTGGGTTGAAACTTGTAGTATGTAAGTCTGTATTCCGTTTTCAGTCCTATATTCTTGCGCGAGCCTAGACGCAGTGATCTTGCTGTCTTTACTCTGTCACCATCTTGCTGTCTCTCCCAAATTCTTTTTTTCCCTAAGATTTATTTTTTTATGCATATAAGAGCTGGGGTGTAGGCCGAGAGGTGTGAAGAGGTAAGAGGACCCACCAGAGACAGTGGGGAGCAGAACAGGCAAATCTATTGAAATATACTGCTGAAAGGAGCAACAGGCAAGACGGGAGAGATCTGCTACAACATGTGGATCAGCTCCTTGAGTGGGGTTCGAATGCATGCTGTAGTGGCTGCTGATAGCTTCATAGTGCTGACTGAGACTCATCCCCTTGTACCACCAGAGAAGCCTCACCCTCTTTTTACTTCTTTGGGATATAAATAAAAACTAATGATACTGAACATCTTTTCATGTACCTCTTGGCCCTTGGTATAATTTTGGAAATATGTATTCAAATCCTTTACCTGTTTTTAAGGTGGGTTCTTTGTCTTGTTTTTAGTTGTAGGAGTTGTTAATAGATTCCAGATGCTAAACCCATTTTAGATGTGATTTATAAATATTTACTTCAATTGTATAGGTTTCTTTTTCACTCTTAATACGTAGCTGTTTTTAATTTTGATGTAGTTCAGTTCATCTACTTTTTGTTTTGTGATTTTGATACATATAATAACCTATTGCCACATTCATGGTCCTGCAGATTTCTTCAAAGAATTTTATGTCTTTAGTTCTTTAATTTAGGTTTCTTATCCATTTTGAGTTAATTTTTGTGTGTGATGTGAGGTAATCTACATCTTCATTCTTTTGCATGTGGAAAGTCACTCTTTCAGGCACGTTTTGTTTCCCTATTGAGTGTACCTAGCTATCTAGATTTTTTTTTTTTGTACTCTGAAGACTGCCTTTATACCGTATTGATTTGCTAACTGTAGCTTTGTATTACGTTTTGAAATGTAAACCCTCTGATTTTGTTCTTTTTCAAGATTGTTTGGGCTCTTTGGAGCCTCTTGCAATTTCATATAAATTGGAGAATTAGTTTTTCTGTTTTTGCAAATAAGGCTGTTGGACTTCTGATAAGGCTTTTGCCAAGTCTGTAGATCTTTCTAAATAGTATTGATAATAATGTCTTCCTACTTAAGAAAAGCAAATGTCTTTCCACTACTTTGTGTCTTTAACTCCTTTCAGCAATATTATATACTTTTTATTGTACAGGTCTTGCCTCCTTGGTTAAATTTGTTCCTAAGTATTTTATTGTTCTATATAGTTCTGTAAATGAATGAAATGTTTTTGTACTTTTTGGAATTGTGCATTCCAGGTTTATGAAAACACTGATGTACAAAAGAAAGCTGATTTTCTTGCATTTGTCTTGTACCCTCCAACTTTGTTAAATTCCTTTTATTAGTTCTATATTCTCCTTTCCAAATTGAGTGGCTTTTATTTTATTGTTCTGGCTAGAACTTAGAGTATACTGTTGAATAGTAGTGATGAAAGAAGGCACATAACAGATAATTTAAAAGAAAAACTGTTAACTGATTTGACAATAACTCTGTTGTTGACCGTATTTTATAAGTCACCAAACAGTAAATATCTTAGACTTTGTGGGGTTGAGGATTAAAAGTGGTGTTTAAAGTGACCTTTCCCTGTCATGGTAGAAACGTAGCCCCATTTGCCCCTAGTTCCTACTGCTCTCACAATGTCGGATAACATTTTTTTTTTTAGATTTATTTATTTGTGCATACAGAACTGGGGTACAGGCCAGAGATGTGGAGGGTGATAGGATTCACCAGAGACAGAGTGGGGAATAGAACAGGCAGATCGAGGAAGTACACTGCTGAGGGGAGCAGCGGGCGGGTCAGGAGAGGTCTGCCACACCATGTGGTCACCTCCAGGGCAGGCGGGAATCGAACTCATGCAGAAGCGGCTTTAGATTCTCAGTGCTGTGCTTTAACCCACTGTGCCACCAGGGAGGGCCAGGATAACATTTCTTAAGTAGAAGCAGCTTAAGAACCCAGGCCCTGATTTTGAAGTCCAGCTGAAGTACTCATTCCTTGTGTTACCTACTTTAATTACCTAATCTACCTGGAGGCTTTCATTCCTTCATTTATAAAATGAGTAGTAGTGCTTCACAGGGGCTATGTTGCTAGTAAACGCAAGGATTTTGGCAGCACATGACACATTATAAAACACTTGATATAAAAGCAATTCTTTTGTTTTGAACCACTTACAAATGTAAAATTATTCATAGTTCACAGGTTGAACGAAAATAGAGGGCAGGTCTTGATGTGGTTTGTGGCATAGAGATGCAATATAGTTTTTTCATAGAACGAAAGAGATAGGCTCTTGTTTGTGATAAAGTGCAAATTAGAGCATCTTTGAAATCCATTTGACAGTGTAGTTTAACAGTCTTTAAATGGCTGTATTACTTGACTCCATTGCTCTCTCTTTGTGGAATTTTAATTAAATATACTATATAAAAACAGATTAGGAGACTATCAAAATAACCTTTGGCTAACAAAAGAAGAAATTTTATTGCATTTATATGATGAAATAACAAATAACCTTCACTCACTAAATATCATGGTTTGGAAAGTTAAAACAAGAAATACTTGATGTATGTTAAAAGGCAAAAGAAAAATGACAATTATCCCAGTGGTTTTAGAAATCAACATTAAATACATATTTCTAAGTGTAAATGGTGAATGAAGTAGATTGAATATTTTATCAAATCTCTGGTTGATTTTCACTTGTTTTTTCCTATTTTTCACTAGTTTTCAAAGATTACACAATTATATAATCAAAAAAGAGACTAGTGTTAAATTTATGAAAAATAAATAATACTGTTTTTTTTCCTTACGTCACTTGCTTGAGGAGATAGCATACTTTATTTAGGAAGATACTACTGTCCATTTACAAGCAGTTTTTAAGTTTGTACATTTCTTAAAAATATTTATTTATGCATACAGAACTGGGGCACAGGCCAGAGGTGCAGAGATGGTGAGAAGATTCACCAGAGACAGACTGAGAAGCAGAACATGCAAATCTAGGTAGTACACTGCTGAGGTAAGGAGTAAGCGAGACAGGAGAGGTCTGCTGTAGTATGTGGATCACCTTCCTGACTAGGGAGCAAACTTGAGCTGAAGTGTTTGCAGCTAGTTTCACAGTGCTGCGCTTTAAACCATTGCAGCACTAGGGAAGTCCTGTACATGTATTTTCAGCAATTTTATGTCTTTGGAAATACAATCAAGTCATTAAAACTTTACCTGTTTTAAATTTATGTTACAGGGCAAAATCCTTTACAAAGTTCGATGGAAAGGATACACATCAGATGATGACACCTGGGAACCTGAAGTTCATCTTGAGGACTGTAAAGAAGTTCTTCTCGAATTTAGGAACAAAGTTACGGAAAACAAAGCTAAACCAGTCAAGAAAGATATTCAGGTATTATCATGTTTTTTTAAATTACAATTGCAATAAATTAATAAATTTTAATATAATATGCAGTAGAGAATTTGCAAATTATAAATCTACAATTTATTACTGTAAATTGTGTATAAGTATTTGATTCTCATAGAATGCTTTCGTTGGTTTTTAGCAAACTCTTCTGTAGCAAACCCTCAGGAATTCATGCCACAGAGAAATCTAGACCTCCTGTTTTGGCTAAGTGTATGAACTGAGTGATTGGTTTAGTGGGAACTGCCTGGGCACTACAGACAAGATGAACCATGATATCAGTGACTTCATCTTCTGCTGTAGAATATGGAGGCCATGGAGAGGTAGAGGAAATGAGCAATATCTTCTTTATGGGTGTCTTGAAAGGTCCTACCTCTTCCTAGAAGCAGCTAAATGGGAGGCAAGATCAAGGAACTCTACTTGGAGACTGTGGCTTGCTGGGAATTCCCTGAGCCTCAGAAGAACCCATTCAGATAGGGAGGCAGTAAATGCTGTATTCTTCAAGATCAGCTCAACTCCCTCTTCTGGCTTCCTTTGATTGCAAAAATTTCAGAAACACCCTAGGTAGAGGATCTGAGCCTATTGTAAGACATTTTTTGGACCTTGAGTGGGGAGAGTGGGACAGCTTCTCCCAGGAATGAGACAATTCCTCTTTGACTGATGGGCATAGCAAGGGCCATTTTTCCAAAGGTGGGATCTTCAATGTAATGGGTCTCCCTAAGTGTTGCATGTGGATTTTTCTTCTTTGATGGTCTGAACTGGAAGCAGAAAAGACTGCCTTTCTCCAAGTAGTAGTAGCTACATTCTACTGGTGCTACCTTGGGCAAAGAGATGATCCCTTCATCAGCCAACAGCATCTTGAGAGCAATATGAACTCCCTTATTGTGGGGGAGCAAGTACTGAGCTCATGAGTAAAGCAGGGGTAATGGCAATGCTAAGTGATTGGTTTAGTGGGAACTCCGTGGGCACTACAGACAAGATGAGACTTGATATCAGTGACTTCATTTTCTGCTGTGCACCCAGTAGGAGTTTAGTTTTGATGGTCATATTCTGGTGGACCCCAGCATTGGGTCTTTTTGCTGTGACTGCAAAAGAGACTTGTGGAGACTCTGGATCCCATGGCTCTAACACCTGGTCCAACATTAAGTGGCAGTTGACATTGGTGAATGACTCAAAATGAAATGTTCCAATTGGCAGACATCTCTTGAACAAAGACATCATGAAGTAAAAGGTTGTGGTGAGTGAAATTTTTCCAGCCTGATCCTTGACTCCCTACCTGGCAACTGGGTTCACACAGCTAATGACTGGAAGGCAAAATTGGCAGGGTTATCTTCACTGGAAGCTGGCTCTATTCAGCTGGTAGTTGGAGAGAACCCTGCTGTAGCTTATAAGGCTGGTGGCTGTTGGTTGGATTCTTAGTGGCTGATACCTGGGACCAAGAGCCTCCTGTCTCTTGTTTCCTGAAGTCAGAGACTGAACTTTTATGGCAGGGGCAGGTTCCCTTGATTGGCTGCTAAAGGCTGAGTTCTTTGCTGGTAATACGTGTAGAAAGTGGTCTGGTTCTCACTCTCAAAGTTGTTGGCTGGTGACTGGTAATTGGCAGCTGGAAGAGGACTGCCTGTGCAGCTAGGCACTTGGGGCTTGGCCTCCCTCTTATTCTTAAGGCTTTTGCTCCCAGTGTGCACTGTAGTCCTCTGTCTTACGTTCAGGAGTTACTGGCATTGTTCTGCTGCATTGAAGCTAAAAGGACCAGGAGGAGGCATATCTGTGTCTTCACTCTCTTACCCTCTTTCCCTGGAGTAGTCCTGGAACTAATGCAGCTCTTAGTTTCATTGATTCTTTTATATATTCTCTCTGATCTCTTTCATGTATTTCTAGTCTTGTTTTTATTATTTCCTTTCTTCTCACTTTGCACCTTGTTTGTTCTACTTTTTCAAGTAGCTTTTGATTGTTTGGGATTTTTCTTGCTTCTTAATAAGGGTCTGTATTGATTATTTTCCCCCTTAATCCACTTTTGCTGGCAAATACAGGTAGCTTACAGCATTTTTTTTAATATAATAATTCATTTTTACATCATTTTGTACTTTTTTTTATCTCAATTGTAATCCCCGTGGGCTTCCCATCACCGAGTCACCCATGTACAGCATTGTTTTTATTTTTCTCGATGTATTTTCTTTTTAGATCCTTTGATTTTTTTCTTTATCCTCTGGTTATATTAAGCAGATTATTGTTTTTGTCTCTACATATTCATTATTCTTCTTGTAGTTAATTCTTCTTGTAGTTAATTTCTTCTTGTAGTTAATTTCTGACTTTATGGTATTAGGGTCAAAGATACAGATATAATTTGAGTCTTCATAGTTTTGTGACAGTTGACTTGTGCCAGCATAAGTTCTTTGCTTAAAAACGTTCTATAGGAACTTTTTCTCTAGCCTTCATTTTAATCTGTTGTTTCCTTATTTATTCATTGTTTTGTTGTCCTGTTGTATTAAAGTCTTCTAATAATGTAGTATCATCAATCTCTTTAGTTTTGTTATTATCTTAAAGTATCTCTGTGTTCCATCATTTGGCTATGTATTTATGAGTGTTATTTTTTCTATTGTGTTAGACCCTTAATCATAATATAATGTCTATCACTCAATCGCTTTCACCCATCATAATTGGAAGTTATTTTATCAAGAAAAGTGTAACTATGATAGACATAGGCACTCCTCTTCTCTACCCCCATTCAGGCTCATTTGTAGTATATTGAGAGCCTCTGGCTCAAACCAGAAATCCTCACTCTGAACCCCCATTACTGCAGGTCTCCGGTAGTGTACCCTTCTTCCTGAGAGCCAACTCAAGCAACACCTTACTCAGTGCAGTGCCTGTTTTCAAGACTCCCTGCTCTTGGCCTATATCTGAGTCCAGGGCTGTAGGGGCTTTGCACAGCATCCACTGTCCCCTCTGACTTGTGCTGCCTCCGTGTCACTGAACAGAATTCAGTTAATGTTTTCCTACCCCCTTCTTATGACAATTGCTCCTACTGTGTGCTGTGGTCTCCATTTTTCACTCAGGGGGTTTTGGCTTTGTTTTACAGAGTAAGCTTGGGGACTAACAATCTGTGTTTTGGCAAGCCTTCTAGTGTTCTGATGTTCTGCTCTGTCTATAGAATCACCTCTAGAAGCTAAAAGGTATTATGAGAAGAACAAAATTCCCAGAGTTCTTGTATTTTATGACAGTTTATTGGTACACTTTATACTTGAAAGTTTTACTTAAATCCAGCTTGACTAGGTTTAACAAATTACTTGCCACCTAGTATGAAACATTGCTCTCTAATGATCAAGACTAATCTGCATTTCTTTGGCTTTTTTGTCTGATGCCTCCAAGTTTTATGATTTTCTTCTATTGTTTTATAAGTAGATGTCTTTCTGATAAGCTTTCATTTTTGGGGGGGAGGTAGTCACTCTGTTTTCTTGATCTCTCTCTCTCTTTTTTTTTTTTTAACTTAAACGTACATGAAATTACTTTTCGTGAAATTTTAGAAGCCACAAGAGTACAATAGGATAATTTTTAGCTTCATGACTCGTGAGCAGCCTCCTTTATTATTGCAGCTATTTCATATTTTCAATGAAGGATGCAAGATTATCTTTAGTATAATTTATTTACAATGTTTATGTTTATATATATATATATATATATAACATCATTGTTTCTTATTTAATAAAGATGTTTTTGTTTATTTACACATATAAGAACTGGGGTACAGGCCAGATGTGCAGGGGGCGAGAGGGTTCACCAGAGACACAGCAGGGAACAGAATAGGTAGGTTAATGAAGTACACTGCTGAGGGGGGCAGCGGGCAGGTCAGGAGAGGTCTGCCATGCCATGTGGGTCACTTCCCTGGCCAGGGACTTCATATAACTTCATAGTGCTGTGCTTTAACCCTTTGCGCCACCAGGGAGGACATCATTGTTTTACATCAGTGTTTTATATCATTGTTCATTTTTGTACAATGTTTGCTTTTTCTCAGGTGTCGTTCCCATAGAATTCCCACCACTAATTTATCTGTGCACCATCACCATAGTTCCTGTGCTCTGCCTGCCCTGTTTGATTCCTCTCCTGGAGTCCACAGTCTTCAAAGAGCCTTTTTTTGGATTGATAGTTATTTTATAGAAAACAAAATCTGTACAAATTACTCCCTTAGTCCTTTAGGAAATTTTGAGGTTGAAATCATGTACAACCATACATAAGACATTGTTACTTTTGACCTATAGCATCACTGACATTTTCTGCCCCTCTATCAATGTTTATCTGCTCTCTTAAAAATTGATCTCCGGGCCCTCCCTGGTGGCGCAGCGGGTTAAAGCACAGCACTGAGAATCTAAAGCCGCTCCCGCATGAGTCCCGCCTGCCCCGGAGGTGACCACATGGTGTGGCAGACCTCTCCTGACCCGCCCGCTGCTCCCCTCAGCAGTGGACTTCGTTGATCTGCCTGTTCTGCTCCCCACTCTGTGTCTGGTGAAGCCTCTCGCCGCCCCTGCACCTCTGGCCTGTACCCCAGTTCTGTATGCAGAAATAAATAAATCTTTAAAAAAAAATAATAATTTACATTTAAAAAAAAAATTGATCTCCTCCAGGACCCATTTGCTGGTCAGATATATAGTACTTTGTAATTTCAGTTCAGGGAAGTAATTTTAATAAGTTGAGAAATTGCTTGATAAAAATTTTGTGCCAGATTTCCCTAACATTGCTTTTCAAAACTTTGGAAATGACTGTTAATGCATTTTTAAATCTTTTTTACATTTTGTAGAGACTGTCCTTAAACAATGACATATTTGAGGCAAACTCTGATAGTGATCAGCAAAGTGAGACAAAAGAAGATGCATCTCCAAAGAAGAAAAAGAAAAAATTAAGATATAGAGAAGAGAAAAGCCCAGATGAGCTAAAAAAGAAAAAAGCAAAGACTGGGAAACTAAAAGATAAATCCAAAGCAGAATTGGAGAGCTCCTTTGAAAGTTTAGCTTTTGATTTAAGAACAAAAAAAAGAATTCTGGAAGCCAAAGAAGAATTAAAGGAAACAAAAAAAACCAAAAAAGATGAAGTGAAAGAAACTAGGGAATTAAAGAAAGTTAAAAGGGGGGAAATACGAGATGTAAAGACTAAAATAAGGGAAGATTACAAAGAAAACAGGAAAACAAAAAAAGAGAAATGTGTTGATTCTCAGTTGGAATCTGAATCAGGTGTACTTAATGACTTCCCTTTTCAAGAAGATGACAATGAAGATTTATATTCTGATAATGGAGAAGAGAAACTTAAAATTGCAAGGGAGAAAGCAGGGCAAGAGGTAGTACAAGCTACTGCTGTTGATAAACAAATTGAAGGCTCTCTGAGTGCTGATGAGGATGGTGATGTCAAAGCAAAGAGGAAAAAAACCAAACTGAGAAAGACTGAGGAATTTAAAGAAAGCAAGATGCCAGAAAACAAGAATCTTTTCTTAGATAAGAAAAATATACATAAAAAGCAAAGGAACCAAGACAAAGACAAAAGTACCACAGAGTTAGATAAGCCACCTTGTGCATCTAACCAGGCACTGAGGAGTTCAAGAGTGGCTGGTGGGGAAAGAAGCACAGGGTCCGCTGACTCTGCTGGGGAGGTGAGTACTGGAGAGAGGCAGGTTTTGGTTAAGTACAGTGTTTAGAATCTTAGAGACTAGGAAATTGTTCAGATCAAACCAGCATTCCTGTAAGTGGTCAAGACATTTTACAAATAATGAAATTGTAAAACAAACTAAAACTAGTTTTCACTGTCATTAAGCAGTTACTTGATATGTGATTAGCAATAGGAAGTTATAAATGCTGAAAATTATCTAGCTTTGTACTTTCTCAGCTTCTCTCGTAGACTAAGTAAGCATTGAAAACAATGAGGGCTAATTCGTAAACAAAAATCAAGGTGTGTTGTTAGAGTTACTTTAATGGTATGTTGCATTGTGTACCAATGCTGACTACTTCATCAGCTTTTTATATCCTACTTGGTATTTTTCCCTTTTGCTTTAAGAAAATGCCACTTTTTTTTTTTGAAAATGCCACTTTTTACTACGTAATGGTATGTAGAATATTTTAATATTGTAACTTTTAATTCTCATGAAATAGGTTTTATAGCTTATCTTATTAAAAATTTATATAAATTTTCAAGTTTTTATATAATTTCACACATTACTACACTATTTGGATATTAGTATTTGTCAAAGGCATTAAAAGGGTTAATTTGTCTATTGAAATACTATTAGGCAAAATTACAGAGGGGGATTATAAAGAAATAAAAATAGTTACATGTGGTTAGTAGGACTGTGGGTGATTTTTTTCTTATTTCAAGATATATTTATTTATGCATACAGAACCTGGGTATAGGCCAGAGGTGCAGGGGCAGTGAGAGGATTCATCAGAGACAGAGTTGGGTGTAGAACAGGCAGATTGAGAAAGTGCACTGCTGAGAGGAATAGCGGGCAAAACAGGAGAGATCTCCTGCACCATGTAGATCACCTCCAAGGCTGGGGATCCACTTCGCACTGAACTAAAGCAGCTACGGCTAGCATGAAGTGCTGCGCTTTTAACCTGTTGCACCACCAGGGAGGGCCCTTCTTTATTTATTTATTTTTTTTTTTTTAAAAGATTTATTTATTTGTGCATACAGAGTTGGGGTGCAGGCCAGAGGCTCAGGGGCGGTGAGAGGCCTCACCAGAGACAGAGTGGGGAGCAGAACAGGCAGATCGACGAAGTACACTGCTGAGGGGAGCAGCGGGCGGGTCAGGAGAGGTCTGCCACGCCATGTGGTTCACCTCCGGGCCAGGCGGGAATCGAACTCATGTGGAAGCGGCTCCGGATTCTCAGTGCTGTGCTCCAACCCACTGCGCCACCAGGGAGGGCTCCCTTCTTTATTTTTAATAAAAATTCTTACAGTTCTTAAAAGGTAACTGATATTGTATTGGTATTTTTTAATTATCTTAATTTAGGTGTTAGTCTTGATAGAGGAAGCAATTTATATGAAAAGAGATGTCCTAGTCAGTGGTCACTTGCTATAGTACACAGAAGCAGTCAAACACTAGGAAACCACTTTCCAGTTTTCACATGTTCTATATTTGCATGCTGTCTGTTCTGTTTTGGATCTTACATATGTCTCAGGAGAAGGAAACCAAAAAACATGAACCCAAAGAAAAATACCAGAAAAGGCTTGATTTCAACAAGGAAGAAAAAGGCCGTAAAGAACTAAAGGGATTAAAAAGTGAGTGTGAATATAACATTTTACCATTTAACATTACTGTCTTTGGAGAAAGAATTTAATTTACTGTGAAGTTGGTCTGTATTTTCCAACTTGCAGTTTCATACCCCAGGAAATTTTCACAACTAGGGAACTTCAAACCTATGTTTCTTTAACCAGTTGCCTCAAATTTATTATTTAACAGTTTATATTGTTTCAGTAATGAATTTTTACATCTTTTTACCTTGTTTTTTTTTAGTATAATGATAGAGTGTATTAGAATAAATATGACAAACTTCTTTTTAATACATCTATTGTACTTAAGTGTCATGTGTATGAATATAATGCCGAGTACATGTCTTGGGTCATGTCAAGATATACTATATTTGAAACACCACACCACATTTCAATATGTTGTGAATCACAATAAACAAGTATATTGTGAATCATTCACTATTACAGTGTTTGAATAAACTCTAGCAAATATAGTCCATGGAGCAAAATTAATGGGAACATGTGATCTTATGGAAGCAGTGATGCTAGGTAATGGATAATTTCCCGTGAGTTTTCTTCCCCAAAACTGTGTGTAACTGAGGTAATATTAAAAATAGATTTTGGTTCTATGCCTCAGCTCGGGTTTAGCAGTAAGAAGCAGGATAATCAGGAATCAAGGAATAGTTGTTGTTTTGATGGTTCATACATAAAGTGACTGTGTCGGTTCCTGTATCTGTTTTCCTTCCTTCTAATGTTTTCATGTCAGTTTCATGTACATTTTTACTATGAGTGTATAATTTTAAGCAATCAATTCCACCTATAATGACATTCACTGGGAATTTGATTTTTATTATCCCCTGCTAATAAAACCTGTAAGCTATGTTTCCACATTTTATCAGAGTTCTTCATAACTCTGTTCTGTTCTATTTTGAAGTTATGTCAGATCTAATGCTTTGCCAGTATTTCCACTCTCATCTTCATATAAAAACCAGGTGGGTTTATTATTATTATTATTGTTACATTAGTTTATTTTTACATATTTTTGTGCATTTTTCCATCTCCCAGGTGGGTTTTTACAGACATCAGGTACGGTTTTACAAAGTACGCAATGTGATGCTTCACTTCCATTCTGTCATTCACTACCACAGACCACTTAAAGTACATAGTCATTTTCAGGTACTGTTGTGAGTGTCATGACTGGATTACGCTGAGGTTCACCACTTCATTAGGAAACAATTGGTAGTTCAGAATGCTGGATTAGTAATCTTTCACTTTGGACAACCCTTCAGTGTAAACGTGTGGCATCTAATAGGAAAAGTAATTTAAACAGCTTTGATAGTAAATTTGGCTTTGATAATCAGTGTGACCCTCCTTAAATAAGCCAGGCAAATTTTGGTCTAGTTAGAAATGTTTTAACAGTGGCCAGATTTTCTTTTGCTAACAACAGAAATTTGTGGTTCATGTTGACCAATGACTTTATTCTTTCACTAGCATGTAAGGAAATTAGAAATGCATTCGATTTATTTAAATTAACTCCAGAAGAAAAAACTGATATTCCTGAGAATAATCGGAAAAGAGAAGAAACACCACTGGACTGTAAGGTTACAGAAGATCAAAAAACCAAGGAAAATAAGCAGTCACTTAAAGAAAGGAAAAATACAAGAGAAGAAACTGATACTTGGGCATATATAGCTGCAGAAGGGGATCAAGAGGTTCTAGACAGTGTGTGCCAAGTGGATGAGAATTCTGGTGAGTATGTTTGCAATTAGCTTGCAAAATTTTTTGAGGATAATGAAAAATTCCTCCTCTTTTATTGTAATTCTGGTCTCAAGATAAGAAAATAAGTAATCTCCTGAATAAATGACTTTTCTATTGAAAACTTAGATCATACTGTAATTTCTAAATCTTTGAAACAAATATTTTGAGTTCTTAGGGCAGGACATTTTAAAGTTACAGAGATTTCTGTTCTGAGACAAGTAGCCTCATTGTATATTTTGTTATTTTCTTTCAGAAGATTAATTATTAAATAGATATGTATTTGTTCTTTTTTTATCTTGCAGTAAATAACACTAAAGACGATTGCATAAGTGTGTTGTCTTAAGAATTTTGAAATGAGCTGAGACTGAGCATAGGATCATGTTGGAATACAGAGTGCAGTAGGTGTGAGCAATAGTAATAAACATGTATCTATAACAAGGACAGAAGAGGTTAGCTAGGTCAGAATGAAGAGATTAAGCTGATAAAACTTTGTATTATTTGCAGATCTTAATAATCAATTGAAGGGAATTGATTATTTTAGAATATATGGCAGGCTAAGTAGTCTAGGTATCCATGTCACTCCAAAAAGCCTATATATTAGATAAAGCATACTTTTTGATACACTGCTGAACTTATAAAACACTGGGACAATTTCTTGAAATAGTAGGCATGGGGCTGAAGTATGTTGTCCAAATAGCATCACTGCTGTTGGGATACCAATGAATAAAAACCAGATAGTAGATAACCAGGAACATCAGTAAAGCCAGTAGTTTATTCATTGAAAAGTCTGATAAAATTTGATAAGCCCCTGCTTTACTGGTCAAGGGGAAAGAATGAAGCCCTAAAGAAATGACGTTTTCAGTGAAAAGAGAGACATGATACCTGCCCAGATTAAAAAGATAGAAAAATTCTAAGAGCAGTTGTTTGGGATTGAGTCTGAAAACTCAATGAAATGGAAAAATAGTAGTTAACAAAAAGTCTTCTTAAACAGAGACAACATTCTGTGAGCTCTTTAATATCAAAATCGGAAGAAAACTAAGGGAAATGATAAACCAAGTTCACTCATAAACAGGCAGAATTCCTAGCAAACAGTAGCAAATTGAATCAGTTGGTAGGTGAGTGTAAAAAACTAACCTGTTATCAAATTGTATATTCCTTAGGAATTCAATAAATCAAAAGAAATAGATTCAATAATATTCTTGATTTAAAAAAAAAACCATAGCAAACTGAATAAAGCTTTTTCAGTCAATGAAGAAAATGAAACCTTTGTCAAATAACTTCTGTAATGGTAAAACTCAGGAAGCATTTATTCTTAAATTAAAAACAATGCAAGGATATCTTTTATTGTTACCCTATATGTTTTACATATTATACTAAGGTTTGGTTACATGTTAAGACACTGAAAAAATGAAAGCCTTTGAGAAAACTCCCATTATTGGATAGTATTTCCAATAGAAACACTAGGGGTAGTAAGGTGACTGGATATATGACTTTAATACCTTTCTGTGTATTTGTATTTCTATGTAATATACATTTCTACACAGTGGATAGAATTTTAAAAGATAATTTTCAATAGCAGTACATTTACAGGATTGCTAAGAATATTGTTTATAAAAGAATATGGGCCACCCTAAGAGCAGGGGTTAAAGTGCTGTGAAGCTGTCCGTAGCCACTGCAGCATGAATCTGATCCCCGGCCAGGGAGCTAACCCATATGGCACACAGACCTCTTCTGACTTGCCTGCTGCTCCCTCAGCAGTGTATTTCAGTCAGTCCCCTTGTTCTGCTCCCCCCACTCTTCCTCTGGTGAATCATCTCAACTTGGCATTTCTCTGGCCTACACCCCAGTTATGTATGCATAAATAAATAGATCTTAAAATCATAAAGAGTATTATAATGCCTATGATGAGAAAATGATAAAAATTTCTTCAAACATTAAGGTGTATATATGCCATTAATGGAAAACTATTTAAAAAATCTGTCATTTTCATTTTCTTCAAATTGGCCTGTAGTATCATTTTGCTAATGAAACCCAACTTAATTTCTTACAGAATTTACAGGTAATTGAGGTGGCATAAGTGAATTAAATTTCTAGCTGGCAGGATAGAGTTGCCCAACATCTTGTTAAACAGGTGGGCCAAATCACAAGCTGGCAGGACATACTGCCTAATGTGCTTATTAAACAACCTGTCCCACCAAAAGAAATGACATTTTCAGTGAAAAGAGAGACATGATACTTGGACATGTCCTCCATTATTGTTTCACAATATCTGGGAGGCTGGGGGTAGCTGGCCGAAGGACCCACATATGCAGGTGATGGAGACTCTGACCTAGAGTGACCAAGGTCTCATTAGCATGCTAAAGTGTACCCCACTGGAGTGAAGGAGATTTAAGATGCTAAGCCCAAGTCACACACACTTTGACATTCCTCCTGTCTGCCCCAGGATATAGAGAAACTAAATAACTCTACTCCAGCTTTGTATAGCAAAGACTTCAGGCCCTTCCCATGCACTATCATTGAAGATCATTTAGAGGGCCTGGACTTACCCCATCGACTTGTTTGTAATGATGCATTCTTCCCTCTCCTACCCCTCGGTTGCTTTAAAGGAGTTGATTTAAAGACAGTTATCCAGTGAAAATCCAGTTGGGGTTTTGCAAAAATTGACAATTTATTCTAAAATTCATATGGAGTTAAGAGGAGCTAGAAAATGAGAACAGCTTTTAAAAAGAACAAAGTTGGTGGAGTAATTTTCTACCCACCCAGTTTTATGACTTACAACAAATTTTAAGCAGTCAAGACACTGATACTGAGACGAAGATAGACAAATCAGTGGAGTAATACAGAAGACAATATGGGTATACATTGGTTTTATTTTATATATGTCATTCATTTTTGTACAGCATTTGATTTCCTCTCAGGTGGTGTTCCCATCATTCTCCTCCACCACTTTTTACCCATGAACTATCACCATAACACTTCCCTTGTGTCTTTCCCACCCCTCCCTCCCTTCTCCCCTGCTATATACCTCCGATTTATGGTTTGCATCCAAGTTTTTAGGCAAGGATTTTAAAGATTTATTATGCATACAGACGTGAGTACAGGCCAGAGGTGCAGGAGGTGAGAGGATACACCAGCGACAGAGTGGAGAGCAGAACAGGCAGGTCCACTGAAATACACTGCTGAGGGTCGCAGAGGGTGTGTCAGCATGTCTGCCATACCATGGGTCATCTCCCTGGCCCAGTATCGAACTTGTGCTGTGATATAGCTTCACAGTGCTGCACTTTAACCCGTTGCATCACCAAGGAGGGTCCTAGACAAGGATTTTAAACAAAGGATCAAAGACATTTCAATGAGCAAGAAAATCTATTAAATAGATAATGCTGGAAAATTATATACACACACACAAATACATTTCTAATTAAAAAAAAAAAAAATTATTCCTCACTCCCTTCCCAGAGAGAGCCTGTAAAATTTCTCCTTCGAAGCTGCCTCCGTTATGGTCAAACATAAATCCAATAAAGCCCTATCTGGATCTCTTTCTTTTTTGTTAAATTATTTTACAAGGGACCAGAAAATCCTCAGGTTGGTATATACTGATTCATGTGTGTGGAAGACTAAAGAAGAGCCAAAACCAACTGTTCAATAGTAATCAAAAGCAACTGTGAAGCTGTAGCAGCCAGTACAATTATTGCTTGGCTTAGGGAAGGTAGATTAGCTATTGGGCACAGTAGTGCCTACAAATCAGACCCTTGCAGTTATAAAAACTAGGTAAAAGTGGCAACATAGTTGCACAAGAGAGGATGAGCTTTGTGGATGTAGTGTTAGTAATTGTTTATTCATTTGGAAAAATATAGAGAAAATCAAATCCTCTAGATTAAGGCATTGACTATAAAGAAGACAGTTAAATATGAGATTTTAAGAAAACAAAGAAAAACTTCTTTATGACCTTGTAGGTAGAGCAATATTTAAGACACCAAAAACAGCATAAAAAATGATTAAGTTGACGAAACATAAGCTCTATTCATTAAAATAAAAAGGTAAAAAAGGACAAAGAAGTACCCAAAATATTTAACAAATTTTTGGAAGTCTGAACTGTTACTGTGTTAGAGTTCTCCAGTAGAGAGAGCAAGATAACTTAAGGTAGGGCTCGTTGATGGGAAACTAGTTACTTGATGAAAAGGCCAGGGTGGGCGGGGGCCTGAGAGGGGCCTATATAAAACCCAGGAAAACTCTACACCTCTGACCTAGTTCCTGCTCTGTGCACCTTCCATCTGACTTCCTGCATTACATCTTTTTATAAAAACCAGTAATCTTGTAAATAAAATGTTTCTCGGGGTTCTGTGAGGTGCTATGGGAAATCAATCCAACCCAAGGAGGGAATTGTGGGAAATTGATTTTATAGCCAATCAGAAGCACAAGCCTAGGGCCTGGGATCTTAGTAGGGTGAGTGGGTGAATCTTGTAGGACTGAGTCCTTAACCTGTGGGATCTGGTGACACCCAACTATGTGAGCATTATTGGTTGTATGTTTGGGGTAATACCCCCTATCCCCACCGTACACACACACACTAGAACTTCATGATCATAGTCACATAATGTAGACATGTTCTTTGTCCAGGTCAATCTTATGTTTACAGATATTTTACCTCCTAAGTCTTTGTATATATCTGATTTTTAAATTACAAACAAAAATGTTAAAACTACCAGATAATGAGTCAAAGTTCATTTCTTGGTAGACTTGAATGGAAGATTTTGAGCCACTTGATTTCATTAAAGTAAAAAATTTGACTTGACACTTTCTGGCATTTCTGGCTCAGTGTCTGTCCTGTTAACTGTCCCGTAAATTAGATTCATAATCAGTCTGTGTAATTCTGTCATGTTTCCCAATTGTTTCCACAATACAACAGTATTGCACTGGAATGGGAGCGGTTTACTTATGCACATTTTACTACAAATGAGGCTGCTCCATTACTGGTGTGTGTGTGTTTGGGAAAGTAGAAGCCTGGTTTTTCTCATCTGCAGCATGTTCTTCCTCTTGCTAGTTACTGTGTATAAATTAAATGTATTCATTCATATAAGTGATTGAAGACTCCGTAATGACACTTGACTGCTTTATCACTAACACTGCTGTTACTCAGAAAATTAGGGACAGCCAGTTTATATGACTTAGTCAAATTCTTGCAGCTTCCTTGGAATATAGGTTCAGGATGTGGACCTCGAAAGGCTGTGCCGTTTCTGTGATGACATGCTCTCTTGGAGGAGGTAAAGAGGTGTTGGATTAAGGTGTTCAGGACATTGAAAAAATTTGTTTTTTGGCACATCTTTACAAACTACATTTCTATGGAAAGGTTAACTGCCTTGACATCTGTGTAGTTTGAGAAACTGGTTTTAGGTGAAAATCCTTTAATTCTTGCCATAGAATGTTTGTACTTTTCTCTGTTTCACATATCACAGTCATTCTGAATTATCCGCTCAGTTATTTATTGCCCTGCCCATAAAGTATGAGTTTGTGGGGCCTGGCTGGTGGTGCAGGAGGATTAAGCTGCAGCACTGTGAAGCTGTCCACAGCTACTGTGGCACCAGTTCAGTCCCCGGCCAGGGAGTTGACCTACATGGCACAGCACATGCCTGCTGCTCCTCTAAGCAGTATATTTCAGTAGAACTGCTTGTTCTGCTCTCTACTCTGTCTCTGGTGAATTCTCTCTTACCCTCCCCTCCCCCCGCTTCCCCAGACCCCCCCAGTGTCTGGCCTGCACTCCAGCTATCTTATGTATAAATCAATCAATCAATCAGTCAATCTTGAAAAAAAGGATGAGTTTGGCTATCGCTAGTGTTTATGGCTTACCAACATGGATCAGACAAATAAGGGAGAAAGCTAGTATTGACCGTCTGGTAGGATAGGTAGAAAGGAACCCAGAGTGCTGTGGGAATCTGGCAGAGCTACACAACAGAGAGGGCTTGCTGGAAAAATTTGGGCTGAGTCTGGAAGGCTCTTTAGGCAGTAACTTAATTATATACAGAGCTGGTTTACACATGTAGAGTGATATCACCTACATAATTGATTAGAGGTCAGATATATACAAGAATGATTAAAGAGGAATATTTAGAGATTTTCTTGGCTGAATTCCTATGAATTCCTATGGGCCCCAGAAGTGACCCACATGGTGTGGCAGACCTCTCCTGACACGCTAGCTGCTTCCCTTGGCAGTGTACTTTGTCGGTTTGTTCTGCTCCCCACTCTGTCTCTGGTGGATCCTCTCACCGCCCCTGCACCTCTGGCCTGTACCCCAGTTTTGTATGCATAAATAAATAAATCTTTAAAAAAAAGAAATACATTCAAAGTTTTGACTGATACCATACAAATATAATAAAAGCTTTTTCTTTAGATAAATGTACCTTAAGACTCTTCTTTGTTTTAGATGGCAAACAACATATTTTGAGTTTGGGCATGGACTTGCAGCTGGAATGGATGAAATTGGAAGATTTTCAAAAGCATCTTGATGGTGAAGATGAAAATTTTACTACAGCAAATGCAGTTCCAAGTAGTAAGTAGTTTTGAAACTGGGGGGATCCTGCACATGAATCTGGATACATAAAACCAAACTTATCTCTTTTAAATTTTAGATCTACTAAGGGATGCTGTGAAAAATGGGGATTATATTACTGTGAAAGTTGCACTTAACTCAAATGAAGACTATAACCTTGACCAAGAGGTAATTTTTCTTGGAAAAATCTCATGAAAGAAAAATGGAAAGTAGCTCCCCTTTCTTCAGTTTATGAAAGTAATATACATTGATTGTTTTATAAAATTTAAACATGGTAGAAATGTATATCGTAGACAGTTGTAGCCCCTGTAATTCTAACCCCCGAAAATGAGCATTTGGCTCAGTCAGGATCATTCTGGCTCTGTCTGGTGTGACCACTATGGTTTGGAGATGTAGAAAACTGTCTTGTCACCATTTGTGTTTCCTTGATGGTTGCAATTAACAGCAGTTATCTGTTTTTCTGTTTGTTAACATTGATTTATATTTAAGGGGTTTTTATATATGAGCATATTCATTAACACTTCTTGGTTTTTAGATTTTGTTTTCTGAGTAAGTTGCTTAGAGGATTTTTATTTTGGGGGTAGTCTGATATGTGAATCTTTTCTTTTATGTTCTTTGGTGTCTTGCCTCAGAAAAGACCCTTTATATTTTCTTCTCTAATTTTCTTGCTTTATTTTGGGAATTTTAATCCTTTGGGAGTAACTTCCAAAAATTACTAGGATTTGATTAAATTTGCATGAAATATATTAATTTGGCTGAGAACTGACATTTTTACATTTTGAATCTTCCATCTAGGAATATAATTACATTCATCAGCTCTTCTTTTAGTCCCTTAAGCAAAATGCATTGGATTATCTACTTCAAATAGATCGGGTATATTTTTTTGCATCCTTACATATTTTGTAATTTCTTATCTTACCATGATCATTAGGATCTCTGCCACATATAGCAATGCACATTTTGAGTTCTGTATCCTTAATTCGTGTATAGAGTAAAAGGCTGTTGATTTCTCAGTGGGCTATGTGTGCATGTGTGTGATCTCCAGTCACTCTGTGACATCTCTTAATCTGATACTTTTTAAGTTTTTGGCCTTGGTTTTTCTGGGTGGAGATTTTGACCACCTGCTAATATATAACTATTTGGTTTCCTTTTTTCCAATTACATTTCTTTTTCTGGTCTTGTGAAATTGGTGGCACATGGATAATAGTGATGATAGAAGTGACTCCTGTGCCATTCCTGATTTGATTCCTTTAAGGTCTCAGGGTGAAGATCACATTTGTCCAACTGTTTGTTTCTTTCAGATAGCCTTTATCTTCCCTTTTTTTGACTGCTTTTATTTTTATTGGGGATTGAGTGTGGATTTTATCAGATGCTTTTTAGGTACCCTGATCTTTACTACTAAGGCATCATAGCTATAAGAAATTTTCTAAAGTAGAAAAAGTTCCTTTTTTAAAATGTTTTATAGTAGTAAGACACTTTACAGATGAGGAGTGCCTTTATACCATCTTACTTCATCCTCAGTAGATCCTCTTGAGTAAAGTATTCTACCAGACCATTTTCCAATAACTTTGTTTTGTGTTCCTTGAGACTATTTACTTTCATATTATCCTCAAATAAACTCCTTCAAATTAAACTCATTCTGTTTTTTATGTTATTTGATATGTTAAAACTAGTCATTAAAATTATTTTAGCTCGGCCCTCCCTGGTGGCGCAGCGGGTTAAAGCACAGCACTGAGAATCTGAAGCCACTTCCGCATGAGTTCGATTCCCGCCTGCCGTCTGCCCCGGAGGAGACCACATGGCGAGCCAGACCTCTCCTGACCCGCCCGCTGCTCCCCTCAGCAGTGTACTTCGTAGATCTGCCTGTTCTGCTCCCCACTCTGTCTCTGGTGAAGCCTCTCACCACCCCTGAGCCTCTGGCCTGTACCCCAGTTCTGTATGAATAAATAAATAAATCTTTAAAAAAAAAAATTATTTTAGCTAATTTTTTTTTTGGTCAACTTTATTTCTAGTCACAGCATTTTTAATTTCTGTTTTGTGAGATTCTACTTGAAACTAATCATATTCATGTCCTGTTTGTTGCTTCTAAATGGTCTTTTGCTAAGACCCACCAAATTCTTACTTCTCAGCACTTACATTTATATAAACCAATATTAAACTTAAACAGTATTCATTTGATTTTATCATTGATAGCGTGGACTCATGTTCTTCAGGCTAACTAAGTGAATACAATGAATGTACAATTTTTTTTCAAGAATGCATAGAGACTTTTGCATGTGAAATAGTCATATGAGAGAGAAATATATAAGCACTGTTTTCAAATAGGTAGCGGCAAGATTCTCTGTTCATTTTAAATCACACAAAGTATTGATGAATCTTTCAAAGTTAATATTTGAACTTTGGTGACAATACATAGAAAAATTATACATGGGAAGACAATCTAAAGGTTGTTGATTTCTGTTTGTAAATTAGGATATTTTAGTAAATGACCTGAATAGATACTTCTGTCAGAGTACTTCAGTGATCACACATTGAGGTTTCCTGGGTGGAAACAAGTAGTTTTTTCTTTTTGTTTTTCTTTTTTTTTTTTAAACATTAATTTATTTATTCATACAAGATCTGGAGAAATGCCCGAAGTGCAGAGAGGCAGAGGATTCACCAGAGACAAGAGTGGGAAATAGAACAGGTGGGCTGACTGAAATACAGTGCTATGGGGAGAAGTGGTTGGGACAGGAGAGGTCTGCTGTACCATGTGGGTCACCTCCCTAGCCAGCGATTGAACTGGTGTTGCAGTAGCTGTGGATAGCTTCATTTGCTACACTTTAACCCATTGCACCACCAGGGAGGGCCCAGTTCTTGATTTTTCTGATTAAACATATGCATGTTTTTCTTATATCCAATTGAAGGACTCCAGTGGGATGACTCTGGTGATGCTTGCTGCAGCCGGAGGCCAGGACGACCTGCTCAGGCTCCTGCTCAGGAAAGGTGCAAAGGTGAATGGCAGGCAGAAGAATGGGACCACAGCCCTCATTCATGCAGCTGAGAAGGTTGGTGACTCAGATGCTTTGGTTTCAGAGTCTCATGTGAATTCCTGTTCATGGGCTAAATCTATTTCTGTAATAACATATTGTGACACAGTCATGTAATTCATAATTTCATGTTTCAATTCACCTGGGACTTGCCATGAATGTATTGTTTTTAATCAACAGGAGTACTTGTAATTGAATTGTCAAAATGTGATATATATATAGTTGAAAGTGATTTTTATTGGAAAAAACCTCTAATTAAGGTGCTAATTTCAGCTGCCAGGGGTTTAAAAATCTTTTCCAATTGAGATGAAATGTTTCTTCTTTTCGGTAGTAATTTAATTAATATAGTCCCATATATTACCTTTTGAAAGTACTGTAGAGGTCCTGGTGGTGAAAACAGGCTTAGTGGGCCTCCCTGTTGTCACAGGGATTAAAGCCAGCACTATCAATCTATATCACCAGCCACTGTGGCATGAGTTCAGTCCTCAGCCAGGGAGCAAACCTCTCCTGACTTGCCTAGTGCTCCCTTTAGCAGTGTACTTCAGTAGATCTGCCTGTTCTGCTACCTACTCTGTCTCTGGTGAATCCTCTCACTCCCCACACCTCTGGCCTATAACCAAGTTCTCGTATACATAAATAAATAAGATAAATCTTTAAAAAATAGGAAAACAGTGGCTACAGGTTAAGTTGAAGATACTGGCAAAATATGTGTGACTGTAGAGGGTGTCAGTGCTGGAGGTCTCCCAGCAGCCCTAGACTTTGGGCACTCCACACTCGTATATTCAGCAGCCCACTTGGGAAGGAATCTGAGTAGTTTTTCTGGTGACTCAAAATTTCAAAACATCTAAAAGTATCTGAAGGAGATTAGGGAATTAAATTTGTTTTGTTTTGTTTTCTGTAATAGAACTTTTTAACTACAGTGGCTATTCTTTTGGAAGCTGGAGCTTTCGTAAATGTCCAGCAGAGCAATGGTGAGACAGCTCTGATGAAGGTAAATACCTCCATGGACTCCTCATTACCCCAGGATTGGAACTCCACCTGCCAACCACTCTCCTGGGACAGGAACATGATAGGGACAAGGCAGTCTCAGGACGTGATTAGGAGAAATCGGTCAACAAAGAACCAATTAAAACCTGGTGAGATCACATGGAAGTCAACTCAAAGCCACCTCAGAAGTTGAGGATGGACGCGATGGGTGTCCTGTGAACAACACACAAGTTAGCAGGAGGGTGAGACATATCAGTATGAACTGGCAGGAGATGTCAGAAACCTGTGCTTTCATTAGTGCTTTTATATTACTTTATATTGGCGAACCATTGCCTCCACCTCTGATTTCATCATGTGTGTGTGGAACTTCAGCTTGCAGGTATATTTTGAGTGGAAGTTTGTTAAACCACAGTCACATGCCCTTTCCTGTGTAGCAGTTTTGACTTTAACTTTTGTTGGGGCCAGGCCAGCACATTCCCATGATAGTTTCAGGTTCCTGTTTAGATGCTGACAGTACACAACAGGTACTAATCCCCAAATGCAGGCAGCTTGGTTTAATTTCCCATGCAAAGACTCATTCTTTGTTTCTTCCTATGGTGCAGCTTTCAGTAAGTTGTTGACCCAGCTAGGATTTGTCTGCAGCATCTATTTTCAACCTTCTTTCTTGAGTCAGGAAGGGAACACACTTGCAGCCCCTGATTAGCAGTGGGGCTGGCCCTCAGTCAGCTCCTGAGTCTTGTTACTCTGAAGGTCTGGGTTGCCAGCCTTCTTCCAACCTTCTTTCATACTTCAGGTTTAAACCTTGCTTATTGCTTTATGTTACTGTGTTATTTTGTATCACAGAAATTTTTTTTTTCTGGACTCTTCTTTTGAATTTTAATGTTCTTCTGTGCATTTCTCTTATTGCCCTAAGTTGAGAACAGAAATGGCATCTCACAGCTTGAATGTAAAATCTTATCTTACTGAGAAATCACCAGGTGTGTCCCAAATGGCATATACATAGACAGTCTAAAGCATAGAGGGAGAGTGGACACTCATACTTTCTACATCTGTACTGTGAATTCAGAACTTTTTCTGAGAGTAGTTGGGAGCCATTAAAAGGTCTTAAGTTGGAGAATGGTATAATCAGAATAAAGGTTTGGTTTTGTTGTTTTAAAATGTCCCTTTGTGCAGTAGGGGAATGAGTTCATTAGGAAGACAGACAGATTGCAGGCTTGTAGGCAGGTTTTTAAGGTAAAGAGGGAAAATAGAAGTTCCTGTGTTAACAGTCGAGATGGAAGTGGATTGATTGACTGGCTTTTTAAGGCAATAGAACTCACAGGACTTAGTAATTGAAGGTGGTGCTTGGGAGTCCCATTTCATAAGTTAGGGAACACAGGCAGCACAGCAGTGGGTGAAAGATGAATCATTAGGCCATCATTACATGTGGCATCTGAACCAGAAATATCTCATGTGTTTCTTCCACTTTGGAGGGAGTTATGAGCTGCAATTCAGATAGGGGTCATTCATGTGGGCAACAGTGGTTCAAGCCATAGCTTTAAATGAGTCACCCACTGAGGGTTGGAAAAGAGGAAAAAACTAGTAGCAAAGTTGAAGGAGGCTGCATGAGAAAGACTGGAGGAAGAGTAGGAGAGATTAACTTGAGAGCCAGTGGAGGAACTATTCAGGGAGCATCTGGCTGGAGCACCACTTGACGTAGACCATCAGTGGGCTGGAAAGGTGCCTGAGAGTTTGTGCCTGAGAAGTGACATCCCGATCCAGAAGGCTTTAGAGGTAAGTGTGAAGCCAATTGTGAGCCTATAGGGGTGAAGAAGTAGATATTTAGATACCAGCACTCAGAATACCTTACTGAGAGGAAGGCAGTGCCTGAGGACTTTGTTGTTCTACCCAGAGAGGAGCTGAGTGCCCTTTTAACTACTGTCCAAATTACACGGCATGCATTTACCGTTAGTTTCATTTACTTAGGTACTGTTCATGGAAAGCACTGTTTTAATTGGTTAAAAATTTTAGTGTATCAGTTTTAACAAATGTTGGGATTCTTTACACAGGGAAAGATTTTTTCAGACACTGAAACAAGACAAGCTTTTTCATTGCAGAGATACTGTACAAAATTGGCCATTAGTGACTATGAATGTGAGGTAAACCTTTTTTGCTATTGGTAATGGAAATGACAACCAGAAAATGTCTCCAGATGTTGTCTAAGGTCCCTTGAGCAAAATTGGCTCTGATAAGACCCCCCTGGAGCTATGCTGTATCATAGCTCCAATCTTAGCTTTCCTGAATTCACGCTTTCTCTTTGTAGCCTCCTTTAAACAGAAAGTTCAAAATTATTTTGTAATACTAAGAGTTACTTCAGAGATTCCCAGTACCAGCCTCTCCAAGAAATAGGGCCCTCTTTATCACCTGTGGGCCTCTGTTACAAAACTGATGTGGAGCATGAAAGAACTTAGATCTTGTGTTTCTTGTCTTGGACAGAGTCTTTTACCATTGCGCTCTCCTGAAGAATCCGTCAGAAGAAATTAATTTAATGGTAGACTATTCTATTCATTGAAGAGTGGAGCACACTGTTTCCCTTTATCTGGCATGTCTCACAGTCTCACACCTGGGGTCACTAGGCTTTATCCCCACTTCTACATGAACTCCCAAGCTCGTGTGCAGTGAAAGAGACAAGCATTTATCTTATGTTATAATTAATAAATGATTCTTTTTTCCTGATTTAGGCCTGTAAAAGAGGAAATTCAGACATTGTACGACTAGTAATTGAATGTGGAGCTGACTGCAATATTTTGTCAAAGCACCAAAATAGCGCACTGCATTTTGCAAAGCAATGCAACAATGTGTTGGTGTATGACTTGCTGAAGAGTCACTTAGAAACGTAAGTATGAAGTGACTATGCAAATGTTGTCACAATGCCTAATACATATTTATTTGAACATCAATTGAAATGCATGTATACAACTGCTCAAAAATGATATCAAGTAGAAGTCCTAATGGGTTTCTGTTCTCATAAATTTAATTTAATAAGTAGCATATGAATTTTTTCCGGCAAATTATTGATGTCTTATAATATTTCAAATTAATACAGTCAAATCTTATAGTTAGTTCTTTTAAGATAGATATTACTTTTTAGATCAGTTTTAGATTCACAGTGAAACTAAGCAGAAGGAACAAAGACTTCCCATCTACTTCCAGTCTCTGCAAGCACGGTCTTTCCCCCAGAATCATTATCCCTCACTGGAGTAGCACATTTGTTACTAATGAACCTATGTTGACAAAATTACCCAAAGTCCATAGTTTATACTATGGTTCTCTCTTGTTGTTGTACATTAAGGGGTTTTGACAAATGTGTCATGATATGTATCCATCATTGTAGTATTATACAGTTCTTAGCTGCCATATAAATCTGTCTTCCAGCTATTCATGCTGGCAACTACTTGTCTTTCTACTGTCTCCATAGTTTTCTCTGTTCCAGATGTCTTTATAGTTGAAACATTTAGTACAGTTTACTCTAGAAACAGTGTGGGACTAGGGATACCACTTCCCCAGTAGAAAATCTGCATATATCTCTTGACTCCCCTGAAACTTAACTGACAGACATTCTTTGGTTTTCACGGAGGAATGATTTCAGGACACACCTTGCCCACCACCCACCTTACCAAATCTGAAGATGTTAAAATCCCTCTATATCCACATCTGCAGATGTTTTCACATCTGCAGATTCAGCCAGCTGACTTTCATAGTTTGAATTTGTGTATGCAGGACCAAGGAGAAAGGGGAAAAAATCTGTTTATTATTGCACCCGCACAGTACAAACTCATACAGTTTTAGAATATTTACTTTTTTTCAGACTTTTTACTTAGCAATTGCATTTAAGGTAACCCTATCTATGTCTTTTCATGGCTTGGTTGCTTATTTCTTCTTAGCACTAAATATTTCATTGTCTGAATGTAACACCCTTTCTCTAATCATTCAGGTTCATTCTTTTCATTTAAATTCTAAATTAACATTTAGAGTTAAATGTTAAATGTTAATAATTAACATTTTGGCAGCACGTAAGAGAAACTTCCCTAACATAGCTATCACAAGTAGGGTGTAATTTCTAACAGGGAGTCCACAGTAGGCAGCCTTAAGCAGGAAGCACGCCTTCCTCATCTGCATACTTAGATTGTAACTTGGATCTTAACACCTGCAAGTTAGTTTAGTCCAAATCAGGTATAAGATGATATTTTAAACAGAAAGTAAATAAATTGGGGGCATAAAATGAAAAAGGCGAAGGCCAGGCAAAGGCACATGTGTCTGATTAGCCTGCCCACTATAACAGCCTTTGCTGGAAACTTCACCTAACCATTAACTCTTGCCAGGGTCCATGACTAATGTTCATGGCTACAAAGAATCCTGGGAAGTCAACCTCTCTCAGTCTATTCACATAGGGTAATATGACCAGACTTCCAGGTTAGTTTGTGATTGAGGAGTTCCTGGGATTTTTAAATTTTATAATTAGAACCAAGATGTCCCAGGCATTCTGAAGCATTTGTTTCTTTCTAGTTCTTAGCAAGATGGTTTAAAAATACTTGCTGAGGGCCCTCCCTGGTGGCATAGCCAGTTAGGATGCAGCAATGCAAGCTACCACAGCCACCTCAGTGCAAGTTCGATCCCCAGCCCCAGAGGTGATCCACATGGCACGGCAGACCTCTCTTGACCCGCCTGCTGCTCCCCTCAGCATTGTACTTGTCAGTCAGCCTGTTCTGCTCCCCACTCTGTCTCTGATAAATCCTTTCACCGCCCCTGTACCTCTGGCCTGTACCCCGGTTCTGTATGCATAAATAAATAAATCTTTAAAAAAAATATTTGCTGAATTAACAGTATACATTTTGTTTTCCAAACTAAACTCATTGCATGTGTATATGGTAATTTTTGAATTTGTATTTTAATAGAATTTCCATTTTTTATTCACTTCTGTCATAACGCAAACATCATCTCTATGCTAGGCACTGTTCAAAGATGGGGAGGTGGAAATAGCACTGTGGGGAAAGACTTGCTCCTGGAATTCTAAATTTCCAAACTCATGAGACAGTAAGATAGACAAATGTGGCATATCCAATTCAGAATGTTAAAGAAAATTAGATCAGGGTGTCTGGATGAGGACCTGGGAAGGCCTGCTGGTATTCAGCAGTTGAGTATTTTTATGATTCACAAATCTTTTCTACATAATATTAACAATTGTTACTCTGTTTTTGTATTAGACTTTCAAGAGTGGCAGAAGAAACAATAAGGGATTACTTTGAAGCACGTCTTGCTCTATTAGAACCAGTTTTTCCAATAGCATGTCACCGTCTTTGTGAGGGGCCAGATTTTTCAACAGATTTCAATTATAAACCACCACAGAACATACCAGAAGGTATTTTTTCAGTTTGAAATGTGACAGTATTTCCTGATTGTTAAACCATTTACTTTCTTTCAACAAAAGATTAAGAAAATTGCATCATGTGTAGTAATTATGTAAAATAACCAGCAAAGCTACCCTGGTAGGAAAAAAAGACTTACCTCATAACCACCATCGCCGATGACTCACAGGGCTTACAGAACTGTTAGCACTTGAGTCTTTTTAATTGTACTGATTTTTGTTAAAATTGACTTATTAACTAAAAGTAAAAAGTAAATTTCTTAATAAATTGTTGTAGCAAGAAATAGAAACAGTTCTTTTTTCCCAGATTTCACTGAACAGCTACTGGCAGGCAAGACCAGGACCTGACTTTCTCTAGAAACAGAAACTGCACTGCCTGCCTGAAAGTGGGAAACTAGACTCTGGCTCTTGTTTTGTTGGACCCCCTCTCATTATTTTAAAAGAACCTGTATTCATTCATGAAAATCTTATTTTAAAAATACAGTCTTGCAGTTGAATACATCCATTTATAGCATCTTGGCATTTAGTAAACTTGATATAGGAGTATCAGTATAAGCAAGAACACAAAAACAAAAATAAAATGGTTCTCTGGTTTGAAAAATGTAGGTAACACCAACAACTTTTGAAGTTTGGGGGACACGAACAGTGCGTAGCACCCAGGCTCTCTTCGGGCTCTTCCTCTTATCCAGGGCTCTCTTAAAGCATTCTGCAGACTGACCGTGTTATTATCAGTATTAAAATCCATATTTACATCTCCTTTATTCAGGCTCTGGGATCCTGCTGTTTATTTTTCACGCAAACTTTTTGGGTAAAGAAGTTATTGCTAGACTCTGTGGACCGTGTAGTGTACAAGCTGTAGTTTTAAATGATAAGTTCCAACTTCCTGTTTTTCTGGTAAGACTTTCTGTAATTCATTACTGAAAAGTACATTTTTCTAGTCAAAAGCACATTTGATTTTTGAATTGCTATATACTAAAGTGTATTCTTTATAATTCAGTAAACCAGTTTTGAAAATCAGGCTCATAATTATAAAATTATCAAGAATTTTTTCAATAAACACCTACATAATTTGTTCCCATGCCTCAGATTTTTCTTATTTCAATGTCTTAGCAGTAACATTTTCAATATAAACTGGCACATACATATATGTATCTTCAATATAAAAGACACATACTAATTTTAAATAGTGTTCCTTTTTTCTGCCATTGTAATTAAAAATATTTGCCTAAATTCAGTGTGGAATAGCTAACTTACTTGTGGCTGTATTAATTTTTTTACCCGTCATTAAAAATGTTGTTGAAAACTGTGACTTTTAACAAATTTAGAATTTTGACCTATGAGTAGATTAAGTGAAATTAATTGGTTATGAAAAATTTTAATGTTCATGGTAAATATATATACATGTAGATTCTAATACTAAAGATTTTTCAGGATAATATTTTTAACATTCAAATTGTATAAGCTTTTGTATCTTTTTCATAAAGTCAAAAATAAAGAAATTATAGCATAGTGCCTTATCCAAATACAAAAACATTTATCCTTTCCATGTTGGAATTTTAAAGGTTTCTTGTTTCTTAAATTTATAGTATAACTTCTTATTTCTGGATGTAAAATACCAACTTTTTCTCTTTTGATTTTTTTATACTCTAGGACAGTCATTTTGTGTACTCGTTCAGCCCTGCTGCAGGCGTCAATAAGCTCTTTATTAGGTTGACAGAAGCACCCTCTGCTAAGGTAAAAATACTTTACACATAGTGTTACTCAAACTATTATTACAGATTACTACTAATTTATCATTAGAAAAATATTTGAATAATTACGTTTGTGTCCTGGTGAGAAGTACTCACTAGTGCATTTTAAATTGAAATTTAAAACATGTTAAACCTTAGAAAAGGTCTAATGTTAAAATGAGAAGAATGCCTCTGTAGCAGTCCAGGTTGTGTTCTCCTAGGCTTTGGTATTTAATTGCTCTATGTGCTTTCTGGGCTGATTACTCTTGGTAAAATAAAGCTTGATTAGAATAGTCTGTATTAAGTTATTGCATACAATCTGGATTTTTCTTTTTTTAAAATTAAAAATCCAAATTAGTTAACAGTTTGAGAGTATGAACAAATAAGAAAAATAAATCTTTTAAGAAAGGGGGACTGCGCTCTTACACTGATATATATTCATTTCTTTTTCAATAGGTCAAGTTGCTGATAGGTGCATACAGAGTGCAGCTACAATAACAAAGCAGAAAGGATTGGGATGGAGTATTTTTCAGATGTATTGCTAAATACTCTCCTCGAAGCAGTTTGGAATTCAACACAGCTCACACTTTCAGATTTAAAATTTCATCTGTAAATCTCCTGCAGTTTGAAACCTGTTATCTGTTGTCATCTGTAAGATGGGACACAGTGGTCTAATATATTATGAAACATAGATGTGTGTGTCGGTATTCTGAAATCTCAGTGTTGTGTCCAGACTGCATATATCAGTTTTTCCACAATGTGGAATGAGAATATTTAAGGAAATTAAGTTTGTTTTGTTTTGTTTTCTGTTTTTAACTTAAAAGTTTTCTATAAGCCCTGGTGAATTTCTGTGTTTTAAAACAAAAACAGTCATTTTATTTGCTTTTACAACAACTTACCTTCACTTGCCCAAGCACTAAAAGTGTGGGTTTGTTTCCATGAAACATCACTGCTCTATGTGGTATGTAGGTTAAAGGGCTGGGGGGCAGAGGGAGCTCTGATCTGGTTTTAATGTACAATTCCACCCTTCCTGAGTTGGAGGTATCAACTTTGTGTTTGGAAGAGTAACAAGATGATAAAATCAGGATCTAAGATACCGCAAAACTGTAAACCAGTACATTGTTAGACCTAAAAAGAGATTATTACGTGTGAATTCTTGTTCTTGTTCATTAAACCCATCAACTAATTTTGAAAAGCCAGCTCATGTGCCCTTTGAACACTGGGAAGGCCAGCCTTTCCAGCCCAGCTCAAGCCTCTCTTCACTGTGCCTCTTGTAAAGTTAATGCTTCTGTAGATTCTTCACAGGACTAACTTTATTTTTTCTTGAAGTAAATTTATAAATTTATAAACTTACATTCTGTCTCAAGTGTTCACTGTTGAGAATAAACTGTAAGTGTTAAGTTCATCACTAAAAGTTCAAGTCTATTCTTCACCATACCATTCTTTTTCCTGATTTACTTACTTACCATATTCCTTCTGATTACCACTAGTTGAGCTTATATTCCAACTGTTTATTTTTGTTTTATGTAACTCATCTCCTTTTCTCTGTATCACCAGTGAATGGTATTCGTCTTTTTATCTCATTTATTTCACTAGCCATTATTTCCAGTAGGTACACCCATATTGATGTAATTACTGAATCTCATTTAAAATATAAATACATACACACACACACACATACACATATAACTGAATAGTATCCAAGTATGTATACACCAAATCATCCTGTTTGCCATTGATGGGCACTTAGGTTTTTTCCAACCCATGCTGTTGCAAACAGTGCTACCACAAACATAAGCAGGCAGTTATCTCTTGAAATACAGTTTTTGTAATTTTTGTATAAATACCTAAAAGTGGGTTTATATTTGTAATTTTTTATGTAGTCTCCGGTACTACTTTCCATAATGGCTATACCAGTTTACATTCCCACCAGTAGTATCTAAGGATTCCCTTCACTCCACACTTGGTTTTCCTTGTCTTTTGTAAAGCAGACTCTCTCTCAGCTATGAGTTAACCTCATTTCCACTTGGATTTTGCTAGTAAGAGATAATGAACATCTTTTCATATACTTATTGGCCATCTGTGACATCTTTGGATAATTGTTCAGGTCCTGTGCCCATTTTTTTTACAGGGCGTTTTCTTGTTGAATTTTGAGTTATTTTGAATATTAACCCTATTAGATACATGATCTAATCTTCAGTTCTGCAGGATATGTCATTTTGCCTTGATGCAGGTTACTTTGCTGTACAGTTTTTAGGTGATGGAGTCCTATTTATTTTATTATGTCAATGGAATTGAGTCCTCAAACACGTAGTTCAGGCTAATAGGCAACATACCATTTATATTTTATGTATTTTGTTTTCAGATCTTACATCCGAGTCTATTCCATTTTTAATTAATTTCTATATATTTAGCAGTCTAAGTTTGAGTCTATCACATCACATTTTCCTCATATCATTTATTAACTCATTGCTTTTAACTCCTTTCTTGTAAATATGTGTGGGTTCTCAGTTGTTTTTTTTTTTTTTGTATCTGTTTTTACTCCACTACAAACTTGTCTTGTAGTTAACATTGAAGTCAAGAGTGTATTTTTTATGAGATTTTTTTATTTTTTACATCGTTCTTTACTTTGTGCATTTTTCATCTTGGTTGTAATTTCTATGGACTTCCCACCACCAATTCACCCATGTGCCATCACCACAGTCCCGTACACTCTCCCCACCCCAGTTTTGATACCATACTCCTCACCTCCATAAAAAGTCTCTGGTTTATACTTATTTTTTTTGTTTTTACTTTATTATGTTATTTTCTCTCTTTTTTCTCCTCTGCACCTTTATGCTCCTGCAATAAGTAAAATCATCTGGTATTTTTCTTTCAGGCTTATTTCACTAAGCATGATCCCTCCCAGCTCCATCCATGTTGCTGCAAAAGGCATGAGTTTATCTTTTTTGGTTGCTGAGTAATATTCTATTGTTAATGGGCACCATATCTTTTTAATCAAGTCATCTATTTTGGGGCATTTGGGTTGATTCCACATCTTTCCTATTGAAAATAGAGCAGCAATAAACATGGGGGTGTAGGTGTCCTTTTGAATTAATGTTTTTGTGTCTTTTGGATATCTAGGAGTGGAATTTCTGGGTAAGGTGGAAGCTCAGCTTTAGCAGTTTGAGAAACATGCAAACAGCTTTCCATAGTAGTTGTACTAGTTTGCATCCCTACCAGAAGTGTAGGAGAGTTCCTTTGTCTCCACATCCTCACCAACATTTGTTGTTGCTAGTTAATTTTAGTACAAGCCATTCTTAACTGGTATAAGATAGTATCTCATTGCATTTTTAATTTGCATTTCCCTTATTACAAGTGATGTTGAACATTTTTTCATATGCCTGTGGCTGTCTGCATTTCCTCTTTGGAGAAATGCCTTTTTTTTTTTTTTTTAGCTCTTCTGCCCATTTTTTGATGAGGTTGTTCACTTTATTTTTGTTGAGCTTCATCAGCTCTTTGTATATCTTTGTGATCAGTCCTTTGTCATTAGTATTGTGTGCAAATATTTTCTCCCAATCAGTGGGGTGTCTCTTTGTTTTCTGTAGTGTCTTTCTTGCTGTACATAAGCTCTTTAACTTGAGGTAGTCCGAGCTATTTATCCTTTCCTTCACTATCCTTGCTTTGGGTGATATACCTTTATAGATGTTAATTGAGGTGTATGTCATGCAGAGTTTCACCTACCTTCTAAATATTTTATGGTTTCTGGTCTTATGTCTAGATTTTAATCCATTTCATGGTTGATTTTTATGCATGGTGCGAGATAGTAGTCTAGCTTCATTTTTTTGCATGTAGCAGTCCCGTTTTCCCAGCACCATTTGTTGAACAAACTTTCTTTGTTCCATTGCAAACTCTTTGCTCCTTTGCCAAAAATTAGCTGTCCATAAACCTGTGGGTTTGTATCTGGATTTTCTATTTGAAACCACTGATCTGTATGTCTGTTCTTGATCCATGCCATGCCATTTTGATTATTATAGCTTTGTAGTCTAGCTTTAAGTCTGAGATTGTGATGCTTCCCATCTCTTTCATTTTAGTCAGGAGAGTTTTGGCTATTGGAGGTTTTTAGTGATTCCATATAATCACTATTTGTTCTATTTCCTTAAAAAATATCATTGAGACTTTTATTGGGATACTGTTAAATCTGTATATTGCTTTTGGTACGATGGCCATTTTAATGATGTTAATTCTTCCAATCCATGAGCAGGGAATGTCTTCCCATTTCTTTGTGTCTTCTGTTTCTTTTATCAGTGTTTTTGTTTTCTTCGTATAGATCTTTTACCTCTTTTGTTAGGTTTATTCCCAAGTACTTGACTTTTTTTTTTTTTTTGTATTTTTCTACTGTAAAAGGGATAGTTTATTTGATTTCCACTTCTTCTGATTGGTTGGTTGTATATTTATAGGAAGGCTACTGACTTTTGTGTGTTGACTTTATATCCTGTATCCTCGCTAAACTGGTTAATTATTTTGATTAGTTTTTCTTTCGAGTTTTTAGGGTCTTCCATGTATATTATCATATCATCTGCAAATAAAGATAGTTTTACTTCTGTTTTTCCCCATTAGGATTGTTTGTATGTCTTTTTCCTATCTTAATGCTCTGGCTAGGACTTCCAGTATTATGTTGAAGAGCAGTGGTGATACACTGAGACCAAAATCATACCAATTATCTTCTTTGACGATGAAGGAATCAAACTAGAAATTAACCATGCGAAGAAGGGAAGAAATCCACCTTGTGGACATCCTTGTCTTGTTCCTGATCTTAAAGGAAAGGCTTTCAGCTTTTTTCCACTGAGGATAATATTAGCTGTTAGTTTGTCATATATGGCTTTTATCATGTTGAGGTATGTTCCTTCTATTCTGATGTTTTCCAAGGCTTCAAACAGAAATGGATGTTGACCTTTGTCAAATGCCTTCTCTGCATCTATTGATATGATCATATGGTTTTTATTTTTCAGTCAGTTGATGTGCTGGATTATGTTAATTGATTTTCGAATGTTGAACCATCCTTGTGCCCCTGGAATAAAACCCACTTGGTTGTGGTGAATTATTTTAATGCATTACTGGATTCTGTTGGCCAAGATCTTATTGAGGATTTTTGCATTAGGGAGATTGGTCTGAAGTTTCCTTTTTTTTGCGTTGTCTTTGTTAGGTTTTGAAATTAGTATGAGGTAGGCTTCATAGAAAGTATTTAGTAGTTTTCCTTATTTCTCTTGAATGAGTTTGTGCAGGATAGGCACTAGTTCGTTTCAGAACATTTGGTAAAATTCATTTGTAAATCCATCTGGTCTTGGGCTTTTATTCTTGGGGAGAGCTTTAATTACTACTTCAATTTCACTGCTTGTAATTGGCCTGTTTAGTTGTTTTATTTCTTCTTTATCTAACTTTGGATGATTATAGAATCATAAGTATTTGTCCATCTCTTCTAAATTGTTGAATTTGTTTGCATATGGTATCTAATTATTCTAATTATTGTATCTAATTATTCATGGTATCTAATTATTCTTTTGATTGCTGCTGTGTCTGTTGTGAGTTCTCTTTCATTTATGATCCTGTTTATTTTATTTGTGCTTTCTCCTGTTTTTTCCTTTGTGAGCCTGGCTAGGAGGCTGTCTTTTACCTCTTTTGTTAGGTTGACTCCTAGGTATTTGATTCTTTTTAATTGAAAAGGGGATGGTTTTTTTTTTTTTTTT